ACAGCTAGACACTGGGGCAGAAGACAGGGAATTAGCCAGACACCACCAGTTCAGAGACAGAAAGCTGAAGCTTTCCTCAAATTATCCTGGTCAACTGTAAATGGCTTCTACTGACATACAGTTTTTGTTTTTAGTTATTTTTAACTACTACAGAAAAGCCATACACACTAATGGCTAAAAAAAGTATTTTTTTTTCACGTTTGCAAAGCTGTAAAACCTCTTCTACTAATTCTGTAGTTAGAGCTGGTTGCTGGGTAAACCAGCTCGCCATCTACAACCTAGGTGTCACTATACCTAATTATCGAAATGGATCCAACTGCATGGTATTTACAATCTTCAAGCCCCCTTTATCTCTTCAAACACGCCAAGTGGCATTTAAAAGACTCACTTACTTCTCTATAGAAAGCCTGGAAATTGTAAAAACAATCATTTTTCCACGGTTGCTACTTCCCACCATTCCTTCTTGTCCTCTATTAAAAATGTAAGGTACTAATAGAGTACCTTACAATGTTTCAATATGCATAATAAGTAAATCAGGTAAAAACATCCTATTTTCAAATATTGTCCTTTTATGGTGAATTATGAACTACTTTCCTACTCTGAGATGCACTATATATTACTATCATCTCTAAGCATCCTACTATGCAAAATCCCAGGAGAATGCCTTGGTCTTATCCAGCTATAAATACAGTTTCTACTAAAAGGAATTTACTTAACAGTCTTTTGTACTTTGTACTTGCTGGGGATGTAGAAGCAGCATACTCAAGATGCAGGCCAAGTACTTCTCATGACATGACATCAGTAGCTGGAAGAGCATCAAAAAGATCAAATTGTATCTGAGTTCTACTAAGACACAGAAAGTTACAAAACTCTAAGAGATTAGCCGGCAGATAGGAATTTGAAGGAAGGCAGCTGAACAAAACACTTACAAAACCGTTTTATGTGCTTCAGAAAGTTACAATATAATCTACTGCAAAAGCATCTTTTATTTGAAACTAACATGTTACAAAATAACAATATTACAGACTTTCAAGAGAGATGTATATTTTGTATTCTCTCAGATTCTGCACTATCTCTTACTATGAGCATAGGGCCGTCTGTACCACACATCAAGGCCATCAAATTGTCTTAGGCTATCAGAACCAGGAAGCAAAACAGTGAGTAAATATAGCAAGATTAGTGATATCAGAGAAACTTATCACATGTTGCTTAACTAAATAGGAGCCCCGGCTATCAGATTGTTTGTTTTAAACTGGACTGCCTTTCATGAGGAAAAAAAAAAAAAAAAAAAAACGACTTTTGTTGTTCCTTTTTGGGATTAACAGCACATGAATAAAATATCTAATACTAACAAGAAATAAAGAAGCTTGTTCACAAAAGCTTTTATTCATATCAATGAGCTGCAAATGTAACACTTATCTACTTATTTTCTGATAATCTCTGTGGGACAGATGGCATTGGTACAGGGTTGGAATGTAGCTCCTTATTTCCCAGCCCATGGTATGGTTGTAAAGAATTCCCTCAGAGCGTTTTACAGAACCTGATTTCATATGATCTGATCAAGCTAGAAAAAATGCTGCTACCGGAACAACAAAAACATACAATTCTTGTAGTGGGAAAATTATGAAATCCCTATTTTTTTTCCATCCTTAAATGGCTGGGAGAGGAGTAAGCCACTGGCCTGAACTGATTGATTGCCCTGGTTAAGAAAAAGAGCTGCACCAGAAAGCACTTCCTTCAAGGAAGCCAGACGACACGCAGCAGCACATGGAACACATGAGTAACCCAAGAGACACGGAAAGCATACAGAGGTGCAAGAGGATAAATTCAGAACCACATTTCCAAACAAGCAAAATGCACCGAATGAGTGTGTGAGTCTATCTTCTAAGTATATGGATTGAGTTCCTTCTCCATACGTCTCAAGGAAGTTGTTCCACACAAACTCTTATTACTAAATTTCAAAATCTGTTAGCTATCATGAAAGAATGAAACAACAACAGATAAGGATCTCTGGGAAAGTCCACGCTTATTAAATGATTTTAAAACCTAGTTGCCTTTATATAATCCGAAGCCTCAGGTTGGGCAGGGGAACGTGTTCTACAGCGACACCTTCTGGTTGGGCAGGGGAACGTGTTCTACAGCGACACCTTCTGGGAAGTGGAAAGACAGAAGCAAGTCGCAGGCAAAACAGGCAGAGGGTGGCAAGTTAAGAGAATGGGAGCAGTGGTGGGGACAGCGGGGGCCAGCTCCTCTGTACTACATCAGGAGCCCAAAGTCTCCCATGAGCCCTCTTCCTCAAAAGCTTTCCCAATTGGTAACCATAAAGGCTTTTCCTGGCCCCAACTGTCCATACAAATATCATTTGAAATGCAAGTTAAAGGTAAGATGCCCAAACACTCCTTCCTTTGTATTCTAAGGAGTGAGACTGGAAAATGGAAAATGAAAATCGACTTTATCACTTCTCAAATGAGTTAAACATAATGAAAACAGAAGCCTACTTTAAAGTACTTCTTTCTACCTCCCATCCCCCACACTATCTCCCATCCCCCACACCATACTTTAACATAAAAATCCAAGAACTAATGAGTCATGTGACCAATGTCCCCATTGACATCGGATTCTCAATATTAAGAACTTAGTGTGTTTACTTTTCAAAGTAAAATTCACTAATGTGCTCTTTCAAGCATATTCTAGCCAAAGGCCAATGAGTTAAAGACAGAAGCCGAAGTTTCTGCAATGACCTGTACTATACCTTAGACACTGCTGGAAGAAAACTTGATAAACTAGTTAAACTCCCAACCCATATAGGATACCACACATTCTGTTTAGAAGCCCAAGATTCCAGCAGCGTGGTATAACGATGGGCAAAAGAAACCCAGAGTTCTTCCATCCTACCTGCATTTCCACAGACTGAACAATGTAACTCTTAAGCATTGTCTCACCTTATGTAACTAGAAGGCTCCAAATGTCACAGCAATGTCACCATTATCTGAACATTTGAACTAACTCTCCAGCAGCCAGGCCTGGTTTGCATGTCCCAATGTCCCTATCTCAGGGACCACATAAAGCTAACTGTTCTTTCGGTAGCCTGTTTATCTTCCAGCTGTACCCTGCTATGAGAAGACAGAACCACACCTGCTCGCTCTGATGTAGCTGTGCAGCACTCTGGAAAGAATCTTAGTTTCCACTGCTGGTGCCTTCTCCGCCCACAGTCAGAACTCAGTATTACTTAAAATAATAACCTGGGAAGAATAATCCACTCTACACAATGAGGGCTTGGATTTAGAGGGAGGGGTTAGAGCACAGGTATTTCATTCAGACTGTGCTCCATTATAGTTAAGGAAGCAGTGTATTAAAATATTGACAACTGAAGACACTTGGATTTACTCTAAAATATCATATTGAACAATATGATAAAATAAGTTCCTACACATCCTAGCATTTTCTAAACCTATCGGCAGGCAGTTGCAACAGTCCATTTATCGCAAGGGTAAGAAAAAGCAGCACAGTCTCTGTGCCCATTCATACCAGTGACAGGCCTCAACAGTGACTTCCTTGGAAGCCATCAGTGCTCTACTCCAGGGTTCTGTACATGAAAAAGTAATAGGAAGAAGGATAGGAGATGTAGCCCAGTGGGTAGAGCACTTCCCACGCAGGCACAAAGCTCCCAGGAGAGCAGCAAAGAAGACACACTTCACTAGTAAGTAGCTACAGGAAACCTCACATTAAAACCTTGCTCATTAGCTTTCTCTTTTGGACGTAAACATGCAGGAGTCTCTTCTCATTCATACAGTTCATATGCACAGCCACAGCGGTGCTACCCGTGTAAGGTCAGCTGACTTAGGGGCCAGAGAACCAGAGTGTCATTTTTACCTGTACAAAAGGTGAATTAATTTCTACAGTGGCCTTGAACTTTGAACTGTGTACATAGAGTTCCTCCCATTAGGAATACAAACAGTTCTCAGAATGTTAATCTGTACACAGGATTTAACTGCACTGCATTCCCCACTTACATTCATTCATTCATTCGTTTTTCTAATCAAATATTTACTGAACAGCTATTATGGAACAGAACTATTGTACTTGAGGAAAGAGAAAGGACAGGGCAGAGTACGCATGGAGATAAACAAGGCAGTAAGTGCTATGAAGAAAAAACCACAGTTACCTCGTCTATTTTCCTGACAGATACTATAACCATGCGACGTATTTTCCTGACACATAATAATGGGCTGCACGTAGGCCACGACACAGAATCTAAATCATTTCTAGCGAAATTGAGAGCTCACGTTCAGTACACATGTGTATTCCAGTTCCAGTATTCTAAATATGAGTCAAAGGAAATAGAAAAGAACCCGAGAACCGATGAAATATGACACGAAACAGATTTAAAACATCTGTTCGCCAGTCTGCCATAAGCACATAAAGAAAGGTGAATACCCAGTCTTTTTTTTTTTTGAGAAAAGAAGGCGCGCGCGCACGCGCGCGCGCACACACAATATTTTATGACATCACTTCTTATTTTAAAAGGCAAACACAATACGTGTTAAGAAATCCAAATAAAATTCCTTAAAATAATTTGCAAGAACGATGCATTCACTCCCAGCCCAGCCCCTGAAAACACACTCCTCCAAGCTGCTACTCAATGCTGCTGGCCTGGCAGGCAGGAACTTACTTTCCCTGACTTTGGCTCAGGGTCAAGCGCCCCGAAATCTGCAAGGAGAAGATAAAGGGTCCTCTACACCCAGTTTCCACTGGGAAAGACAAGAAACGGCTGCGCAATGACCTCGGGCAGCCTGCGTCCTGGAGACCCGAGGCGGTTGCTGGGGTCCCTTCGGACGAGCCCCGCTTCTCCACCTCCCCGCCCGGTGAGCGCGGCCTCGCCCCGCGCGCACAGGAGCCACGCTGGGGATGGAGAGGTGCAGTAAACTGGTCACCAGACCAGACCTGCAGCGCCCACCTGGCTCCCGCCCGCCTCCCATCCCGACTGTGGGGACTCTGACCTCTCCGAGCCCCGGGGCTGCTGCTGCTGCGGCTGCTACCCGTGCTTGGGCTACCGCTGCCCGAGCCACTACCGCTGCTGCTGCTGGTGCTGGTGCTGGTGCTGCCGCTGCTGTGGCTGCCGCCGCCCTTGGCGTTCTTGCGTGGGGCCATCGCGAGCTTCTCGGGGGACTGCAAAGAACGGGGGCCTTGTTGAGTGCGCTAGGGACACCGGGTATCCGCGACTCTGCAGCAACGCCTCAGCCTCCACCGTCCTCACCGCGCCTCGGAATATTTGCACCAGAGTGAGGCGGCGCAGCTAGGCTCGCGTGCGTCCAGCCTGCGGCTCCCTCAGCGGCCAAGAGTGCTCAGCCACCCGGCCCTCAGCCCCGCCCCCGCAAGCCTCGGCCCACCCACCATATCTGAAGGACGGCAATGCGAGCCAATCAAGAGGACCTCTGGGAGGAGGTGTGGCCGGCTACCCTCTTCCCTCCCCCCACTCCCCAGCCCTTTGCAGGCCGAAGCAAGTCTGGTGCTGCGCAAGGGCTGCGAAGCTCGAGCGGCATGTGGCTTTTTAGTCTGCCTTGGTTCTCTGGAACGTGGCAAACGTGGAAGCCGGCAGGGCTCTCGCGAGCATTGGCGCTCTGGCTCCAGCGGGATGGGGCGGGCATGGGGGCGGTGCCCGAGAGCAGCACACCACCTCTTGCCTTCTTCCTGGGAATTTGGTTCCGGTGCCTAAGCACACTCCAGGAGTATGCTCTGTCTTCAAAAAGGATACGCCTCAGTTTCATGAGTCTTTGGTCCTTTCGGTGTCAAAACAGGGATTTATGTCATCAGTATTTTTGGAAACCTTAGTTAAGACATAAAAATGTTAATATGGCTCAAAAAAAAAAAAAAACAAAACAAAACATTTTCTTCTCTCTGAAATCTGCCCCCTCCGGACTAGTATCTACAGTTATGTAACGTGGCCAGCCATGGATTTCCTCCTGTGTTTATGCATGTACTGGCTACTTGTGAGACCTGTAAAAATGGCAGCAGTTGGAAAAACCAGCTAACGATCAGCAGAAACTATTATCATTTTGGCTCGCCCTTTGCTCGCGTCGTGTCTGTGACATATGTGGTGATTTGATAAATTGCTGTCAACATCCAGAGATCTTCCCCGAGTTCCGGACCACCTTGGAAGTTCCCCCGTTGTGGTAAAGTGAAAGAAAGCCACAACTGCGGGACACCAGGCTTTATTCCCCTTCCGCAGCTTGCAGTTTCCCCAGTCACCGCTGACAACTGCTTTGGGTCCTCGGCCTTGCCAGACATGAATGGCTGGGGGCTGCCCACATAAAGTATGGATCCCATCAAGGCAAGCTTGGCAAACAGGGAGAAAGGAGGCCTCCTTTTCATACAGCTATGAGACTGGACCGCAGTCCGCTTTTACTACATCTGTATCTCACAGCCTCCTTCGGCCTCCATGTGTCCTTTCTTCTGCCTTGGGCGCCCCTTCCTGCCCACAGAGGACATTATTTCAGCAGGAAATAATGACGGGGATGGGAAGAAGCAGAGAGAAAAATCTGATTCGGATTACTTAATGTAAGATGCTGACATATAAACTACAATAGATAAATAAGTAAAAGACTTGTTCCCCAATACTTTTAGATTCTCACAAAACACTATTAGAGTTAACGTTTAGGCAGCTCAATCTAGAAATCTAGAAATGTTTTAAACCCTTATTCCCCAGCTGGTGATGCTGGTTTGGGAAACCCAGGAATCTTCAGGAGATGGGACATGGCTATCCGAATAGGTCACTAGAAGCAGACTTTTGTGTAGTAATAAGGGCGGCAGGGCTGTGTTCCCAGTACCCCAGCCGCCTGCCCGGCTAGCTTATGCCCAAAATAATTACACGGAAACTGTATTCATTTAATCACTGCTTGGCCCATTTCTATCTAGCCTCTTCTAGGCTAATTCTCACATATTAATTTAGCCCATTTCTAATCATCTGTGTAGCGCCCCTAGGTGCGCTTACCGGGAAGATTCTAGCCTATGTCCATCCTGGGTCGGAGCTTCATGCGTCTGCCTGGGAGTTGGGAGCATGGCGTCTCTCTGAGGCGTCTGCTCGGAGTCTGAGCTCACTTCCTCTTCCTCCCAGCGTTCTGTTCTGTTTACTCCTCCCACCTATCTTCTAACCAATAAAATGGGCCAAGGCAGTTCCTTTATTAGCCAATGACCTTCCTCCATCACTTTTGAAGGATTTTGATTAGTTCAGACCCTGCTCTCCTGCTGCCACAGGATCCTGCTGCTTCTAACAGTGCGGCTTACTACTGCTATGACCTCCCTGGCGACAATAAAGTCTCTCTGGAACTGTGAGCCAAAATAACCCTTTCGTCCCTCAGTTTATCTCCTTTGGGTATTTTAATCACAACAATGCAAAAGTACCAAATCCAATGATGCCAGAGAGCTAGCAATGGAGAGGTATTGCTACATGCAGAATTACCTCCAAGTTGTTCTTCTTAGAAAACGCCTAGTGTCCCGTAGAAAATACTTCACCTGACTTCCCACTCCTGTAGCAAAGGCTTCTGGGATCATCTACATTCTCCCTAAAAAGACAGCCTGGAACCTGAGTGTGGGCACTTATCAAAGGTCACAGTATGGGGGAAATCGTATTTCTTTAACAGCTGTCCCCAAACGGCCAGAAAGTGAGGCTTTGCCCCTGCATTCCCAGAAACAAAACCTGGTATCGTCTCTAGTAATAGAGACATCGCCACATCTCCAGTCCATTTCGCCGGGGAGCCTGCAGAGTTCCCCCTTTCTTTACAGCCCACAATTCAGGCAAAACCAGCATTCCTGGCTTTACTAGAGAAAGTAATTTCAGGATGAGCTGGTAAGAAACAGAGTTGAAGATTTTATTAAAAGAAAGTTTTAATATAGATCTTAAGCAGAGGGCTTATTAGAAAGAGATACTGCAGAAAGAGAAAAATAAAGCTCACCCAATAAGACAAGTGTGGGCTTCTCTAAAGGAGAGCTGAACTGTGCTTTCTTTACCATGGGTGTGTATGAGTTAGGTTTCTAACCGTACAAACTGCAGAGGTTTCTATTTAACGTATCACAGTGGACACTGGTAGAGGTTCTCCTTGTATCTCTCAGTCCCTACCTGTAACTGAGCCTTCCTAGCTAGCATACCGGCCCCATATCCTAAACCTCTCCAGCCTAAGGACTGGACTACCCTTCCCCCACTGCCCTTCCCTATATAATCCAAGCATTTTGGTTATCTGGTCCTTTTGTCTGCTCTCTTTGGGCCTCCTGGCTGCCATACCTGGTTCTTTCCCTCTCCCCTTTCCTGTCCCCCACCTCCTCACATGACTAAAGGACTTGTCCACTCTGAGCTCTCCCGATGTCCCCGCCTCTGGCTATGTTCTCCCACATACCTATAATAAAATTTCTCCACCACACATAGGACCAGTTATACCCTTTCCTTGTTATTTCTTTTTTTCATTCCATATGTAAGTTGGGCAGCTCTCAAGTTACATCTAGAGGTTGCTAATAAACCACTCTCCTTCTTTCTAATATTTTCCAAACACTGCAATTTGTAATAGAATTAACAGTTGAAGGAATTTTTTTTTAATAACAAAGTTCTACAGTGTGTTTATTAGGTCTAGGAGAGAGCAATGCTAGGATGTTGTAGAATATTATTTTAAGTAGGCAACGATGTGACTTTTGTTTATGGGGCAGAATATTACTTTATCTATGTAAAAGTGTGTTACTTTGTTTATGCTGCATTTGTTAATTACTCTGCCTGCCGAAGGCACCCGATTGGTCTAATAAAGAGCTGAATGACCAATAGCTAGGCAGGAGAAAGGATAGGCGGGGCTGCCAGGCAGAGAGAATAAATAGGAGAAATATAGGCTGGAGAGGAAGGATAAGGGAAGATCAAGAGAAGAAGGAGGAGAGAACATGGGACACACCCAGGGTCAGAAGCCAGGCAGCGGTCAGTCAGCCAAACATTGAGACAACAAGAAAGTAAAAGGTGAAAAGCCCCAAGGCAAAAAGTAGGTAAAAAGAAACAGGTTAATTTAAGTTAAAAGAGCTGGCCAGAAAAGAATTAACTATAGCCTTGTATTAATTCAAAACTAATAAGCCTCTGAGTCATGATTTGGGAGCTGGCTGATGGCCCAAAAGAAAAGGCCTGGTACACTAAGAATATAAAGTTATTCATCACTTTAGCCCTAAGCAGAACAACCTAATTACTGTGACGTGCTTGCTTGAGAAGTCTCTGGGGATATACCGTCTGGACCTAAGTCAGCAAATTGTGTTGTCTTTGATAAGTTGCCTTTTGACAAACATATACTGTCAAAGTGAGCCATTGGCTCTCTGTTCATGGTATCCAAAATCCAAAATTCCCCAGCTCTTCCCCTCTCTCTCCCAAGCATTTCCTGTTCCCACAATTCCCTCCTTATATCCTGCCTCAGTACTATTAACGTATTTCCTTAAGCAGTATGGGCAGAAATAAATTTTGTAAATACAGATCATAGGAAAGAAGAGACTTGATGACATTGTACGCTGAATGGTATAAAACTAACTTTATAAGAATTCTTACAGATTTGGGAATTGTGAATATACGTGGCTTCCTTTCTGGTACTAAACTTTCCACATGGGGTGGTTAGAATGATGCATTTTATGTTGTTTCTACTTCCCACCCTATGGGCATCAAAACTGTCAAGCTTGTGCAGTATCTGCATTCTGTTTCCTAAGACCGTTCCTCCATTTGGTGTAGGGAAAGCTGGGGAATCTGTGTGTGCCTGACATGACATGATATGACATGACATTTCCTGTGTTTGATCTTTGACTGTGAAGGGTGAAATAGATGGTCCACGTGTGGCTGAGCACCCAATAGACACTTCTTTTCTGCATAGACAGTTGGTTCTGTGTTAATCACATACAGAAACCTCTCTGACTATGTGTGAGCTGCAGTAAGCACAGGTATGGTCAAGCACTTTTAAAGCCTTCTCTACTCAGAGTTTTCCCAGAACAATTTCTCACGTATTAGTTGTAGTATAAGTTAGAGAACTGTCATTTGCAACAAAAACTGACTCTGTTACCACAGATAAGCTTCTAAGTCACTTCCTTGTGAGAAACATTTAAGTAATGGCTGTTGCTAAGAAATTGATAGAATTAACACAGTATTCTTAAGTCTTAAGCTTAAAGTTGGTTAGAGCCTTACACATGGGGAAAAGCCAAGTGCTGGAGAATAATGGTTAATTTCAATCATAGCAATATGATATATATATAGTATTTTTTTATTTAGATGGAGGTTTTAAAAAGTAATTGAGATGTAAGAAATAATTAAAAAATTCAATAATTCAATTTGCAAGATAATTTTATGCAAAAAGTGAAGTTGTGTGTCTTGAGGATCTAATAATCCCCCTTCCCATGTGTATGTGTGTGTCTTTCATGAAACCACCTTCTCTGAGAAACAGGTCAGAGGGAAGTATCCTGAACTAGCATCAGTGATCTTCCAGTTTCATAAAGTTTAACTACATAAAGCAGTTGTATTTTCCTTACAATGAGGATGATTACTGCAGTCAACCTGACTCCTTGGTTGTTTGAGGGAAAGCGTGCAAAATTATACTGCATAGGGACAGTTGAATTAATTCATATTAGTTCAACCA